GGCTGAGCGGCGTGCGGGGCCGCTGAGGGGAGGCCCCGGGGCCGGGGGGTGGCTAAGCCCCACCGTTAGGGAGCACGTGTGGGTGGTCTTAAACACAGCTTTCCGTCACTGCTGCAGGACAGGCGTCTCTCCGGGGAATCCGCGCGTCTAAGTGCTTCTGCCGAAAGGGGGGGATTGTCTTTTGTCTGTGACAGGCTGGCTGAGCCCGCGGTTACTCTGTGCTAGTACTGCGTGTGCTCCTCATGTGAAATACTGACATTGCTTCGGTAGGGTGATCAGGATGGAGACCTAGTTTTGTTGAAAGATACACCAAAAAAAGGATCTTCAGCCTGTGCGTGTGGTTTATGCGTCAACATTCGTTGATGTGTGTCTAACAGCATGGCACTGTAGGTTTATTTGGGGCAGTGAGTGGGTGAGATGCAGAAAGGAAGATGGGGTAAAATTGAAACAAGATATGCTTGTATGTACTGGAAACGAGCATATCTATTTTGATGTCTGATCACCTTATCTGCTTGAGCAGTAAAATGTCACTGTACCTGTGTTAGTAATCTCTGCCAGCTATCAGCCTTATAAGATTTTGGATTTCAACCTTACTACTGTATTTTTTAAGCTGAGTTCTTGGTGTTAGGGAGACCGTATGGATAAAAGACATTGCTCCAAGATACGAGCAGCTTGAATTGTATCAAACAGCTAAAAACCCCACAAAATGTGTGCTGTTTTCAGAGTTGGGTATGACATAAATGCTTTAAAAATCGAATTAAATCTCTGATCCAGTGATGGGATCCAGCTTAGAGGCTGAACAGAGTCTGAAGGGCAAATTCATAGGCCTTATGCACAAAGAAATTGAGTTAAATTCTCCTTCATAGAAACTTCTTAAGGTATAGAAGATGTTGCTACTAATAGGATTTCTTCTATGATCAGAGAAACAGGTTTCCGTGTAAGTAGCCAGTTGTATCAAATACACGTACATTAATCAACAGTGGCTTTGCCTGCAGGAAAACGTGATGGTTCTCAGATTTTGCCTGGCTAACCGCTTGGGTCAAAAAAACAGGTTTGGAGCAATCAACCGTGTGATTGAAATGTGATGATGGAAAGCTGTGTGAAACTGGTATGCCTGGTTTAACAATGCTTGTAACCTCCCACTTGCAAATACTACTATTTCCATTCTTCCCTGATACAAGAGTTAGGAGTAAGTGCTGTTGGATATACCTAGAGCAAATACATTACCAGCCAGCATTCTTGTTTTGAAGAAATGAGTATGAACATGTGGTAAGAAGCCTTGAAGTACGTATAATGAGGTTGCTGATGACAAAATATATTTTGTCTTGCAACCCAATAATTCCACACATTGGTCTGGAAAATAAATTTTCATATCTAATCTTTCATCAAGACACATGATGTTTTCAATTTTGTGTAAAACATCTCACTTCTGGGAAAAACAATCGATGCTTATGACCGAGATACACAAGGTGTAGTGGGAATATGATGCAATACTTGGTTGTAGTTGCCTCGACATCCAGGCATGTGTAGTTACTCTTCTATGAAAATGAACTGAAAATACTAGACTCTGTAGTTACTTAGCCATTTAAATTATGCAATAATGCAGTGCCATGTAAAATTGTGGAAACAGTTTTTGTCACATTTGCAGCAGCCTCTAGAAAGGATTTAATCCTTGCCAAGAAACCTGTCAGGAATCTGAAAAAAATACACAAACTGTTGCTCCTATTTTAACAATGAGATTATGCATTTTACATACTCTGAGATAGTCTTGTTACTTTGATTCACTGCATTTGGAAATATGTGTAGAATGAAGAAAAACTAGAAAAGTATCAAGACTGCAAATTGAAGTCTTTTTAAAGCAGTCCTTATTAAAGTTTAATGAAAGTAGGTAAAAACTTTTCTGAGTTGTCAAGTATCTTATAAATATATGTATAAATTAAAGTTTAAAGTTATTCAAATTAAATGGTAAACAGTGTATTAATATAACTCGAAAACCTGTATGCAGAATGTTATTAATTGCAATAGTCTCATTTAAGCCAGCGGGAACTACTTAGTAACAGACTTTGTACAGATGCCTGAATAAGAGGGGTCAGCCCAACTCTTTATGTAAATTAACTAAGGTAGTGTTGATACTGCTGGTCATTGTCAAGGGCCCAAATTTAACAATCTCACATTTTTATTTAGGAGATTAGAAGTGAGGTGTTATTAACATTTTAATTTTTCAGTAGAGGTAGAGGGTCAAATGTGAAGGGGATGGGGTTGGTTTTTTGTGCTTTTCAGCATTGAGAAGAAGTATTTCAAAGCTGTTACGCTTTTTTTTTTTTTTTTTTTTTTTTGCTAGGTTTGAGGTCATCTTCTATGGCAGTGTGTAGGAGAGACCTGAAGATCGTCTTATGCCTCAGCTTGCCATAAACTGCAAACAGCAACAATGACAGTCAGGTAAACGCAAACCAGTGCTGCTTGGCTTTTTCCACCCTCGTTGACTTACGGAGGTCTGAAGAGGGCAGAAGGATGCATGAAATTTTGGTTGTATCATTTCTGTGTATGATAAATTTTTTTTCTACTCCAGTTTTAATTTGCTGAAGCACGAGGTGTGAGTGGGTACGTGCTTGGTGCAGCAGAAGACATATCCGATGAATAGGGGAGAGAATGTCTTTCCTTTGAGACTTGGGCAGCAGGAACGGTAGCTGTCTTGGCAGAATCAGTATGTAAAGGTCGGTTTAAGTGCACAAATAACAGGTGGTAAAACAGCGACTGGGGAGATGAGGCAAATTTACTGCACAAGTAAGCTGATTAGGTGGAATAGTGCGAAGTTTGCTGAGCAGAGAGAGGTCGGGCCACTGGGCTGAAGGAGTGAATGGAAGCAGGGCGACTGTAGTATGGGATCGGTAGGCGGTGAGGGAGAGACAGGAGGGCAGGGGAACAGAGTGGGAATAGCAGCGGGAAGTCTCCTGTGAAGCAGCGCAGGGAATAGCTGGTTGGTTGTGTGCAGCTGTGGAAGGTGGGAAAGACATTCAGCCCGGGGGTGGCCGTTGTAGAGGAGGTACCCTCTTGTTTTATAAATCAAGAAGGGGGTTGGGGGGTGGTAATGAGAGACTGAAAATAGGCGGGGAAGGGAATGAGAACCGCAATAAACAGGGAGAGGATGGCAGCGGGTGACATAGGTGAGGGGGAAGCACGTGGCAGGTAGCCAGGGGGGTGGGGGCGGCAGCGGCAAACCGAAGGTCCGTGTAGTTTAGTTCTCCTCTTATAATAAAGTTGGAGTTCGCCGGGCAACGGCAAAATGGAGAAAGCAAGGAGGGGATGTTTGTGCTGAGGCAAAGCCCTGTCCATCCCACGCTGGGCTGCAGCTTC